GCTACCAAGCTAGTTTGAAGATGGCCCCTTTTGAAGCCTTGTATGGAAGGAGGTGCATGACACCGTTAATGTGGGATGAAGTTGGAGACTGTCAGTTGTTTGGACCAGATTTGATCGACGAGTCTGAAGAGAAGGTTAAGTTGATTCGAGATAGACTGAAGGTAGCTCAGTCCAGGCAGAAGAGTTATGCAGACACCAAACACAATGAGGTAGTCTATGAAATCGGAGACAGAGCATATCTTCGTGTATCACCGCTCCAAGGGGTTAAACGATTTGGAGTTAAGGGAAAGTTAGCCCCAAGGTTTGTATGACCATATCGAGTTTTGGAACGTATGGGAGAAGTGGCCTACAAGTTGGAGTTACCCGAAGGATTGTCAGGAGTTCATGATGTGTTTCACGTTTCCCAGTTGAAGAAGTGCCATGCAGAGATGGCCGAAATTCCTCTGAGAGATACAGTGCCCCTGGAAGCAATTCAGTCGGACAGTGATCTAACTGTTGAAAGCACTAAACAAGTTTGATGTGAAATATGACAGGCCGGGCCCGCTATCAAAGGCTGACGTGGCACCAATATCTACACCGTCTGCTGGAACATTAAGTTAACAAAAAGGCCCATTCGTCAGTAGACCGCACATACACTTCAACCATGTATCTTATGGAGCATGTTGGGTGCAGCATGTTCATCGCCGCCCACGCTCGCTCCAGCGCACTCGACGGCCGGAGCTGCTCCCGCCGGCGAACTCACCACCGGAGTGCCGCCCCACCGCTGACCCTCCCTTCTCGCCGGAGCCCTCCTCTGGCCAGGAGATCGTTGCCCCGTTGGCGGCGCAATTCCCGTCTGGTTTGCGATTTTTTTTGAGAAACGCCTGGTTTGTGATGGGCTCCATCTCCGCTCCTTGGTCCAGGACATCCAGGGTGCGCTTGGCCCAACTACGATGGTCCAATACGTGGACTTGTGGTGCCAGGTTCGACACATCGAGCTCTCTCACTCTCTCGACATCCTTCAATGGCGGTGGACTGAGCCTCTACACGGCTAAATCATGCTATGATATGATGTTCGCCGGATGCATCCCTGATCCGCATTGGCGCTCGATATGGAAGACACTGACTGAGTAGTTCTGCCCTACACGACTATTCTAGTGTTTCCTTTTCGCCATCCTATTATGTACGAATTCTGTGTACGAGTTCTGTGTAACACCATTACTCATGTTTTCTTTTTCTACCTATATCAATGAAAGATTCGCGGGAAAAAATATATATATCTCTACTACTATTAAAAGAGCAAACTTAAGTTCTCCTAAAACCACCCCACAAAATGTACACAGATTAACCAGGATCCTTCGATCTGATCCAAGTAACAAAATATGAGAGTCAATATTACTTTCTGGTCTGCCTCCCCCATCGAAGGACTCACGGTAAATGTTCTGCCACGGTCTGCCAATCGAAGCGCGATGGGTCGGTCCGTGATATCCCTCCCCACGATCCCTCCTCCTCCCAGCCGCCCCCTTGCCAGCGCCCTCCTCTTCTGGCCTCCGCCCACGCCTCCCCACGCACGCAGCCGCCGACGCTCCATGTCTCCGCCACGCCCCTGCCGCCGGCGCGCCATGTCTCCACCGCAGGAACCGCCTCATCTAACAAGAAGATTGAACGCACTCGCCGCCGGCGCTCCATGTCTCTGCCGCAGAAGCCGCCTCTGACAATGAGATTGGACGCCCCCGCCGCCACTTTAGAAATCGGTGAATCGCCGCTGCTGTTACTCCACATGCGAGGATCATCAGTACAATCTTCAGCTACCACACATCGGGGGCGCAGGAATCAGCACAAGATGATGTTGTCGCCATTCTTCCGCACAGCCGACGTCGCGGAAGCTGCTCTTGCTGTTCCTATGCACGGCTGCCAGCGTTCTTCCGCACAGCCAAGGACGGAAGCGACTGCCGCTGCTCCGCCTTCCATAACCGTTGTAGCGCGGTGAGTGAACGCCCTAGGGAAGGGTGGTGGCAGAGGCCGCACATGGTGCGTGGATGCCCACCACATGTTCGACGAGTTCCTCTGATTGACCTCTCTATCTCTAGCGCTCTGTGTTTCAGTTTCCATGCTCCCGTGCTTCATACCTTTCTTCTGATAATCCCTACCAACTTGTCGCTGAATTTTCAGAAGCATGAATGTGATTCAGTGCACAACTTTCCTGTTTGGAAAAGGCATGTGTTCCTGTCCCTGTCCGAAGAAAAATCTGGTCTTACAGTATACTTTGTACTTCATCTCTCAGCAATGAGATGCTTAGGTCGATCCATTTGCATCGGCTGATGCTGTTCAAGATAAGGCAACTGTCGTTCTGTCGGCATATTCCGTCTGTCCAGGACGTTCTCAAGCACCACTAGACATTTTGCATGGCGCTGTACGATTAGGCTTGGACCGGATCAGAGAAATTCTTTTCTATTTTCAAAAGTGTGTAGCTTACATTGGAGGGGGAGAGAGAGAGAGAGAGAGAGAGACCGGCTAGGACACCATCATTAGATAGGTTAGCGGTTTTTAACAGCGTACATGATTTTTGCTTATGTGTGTTTTACAATATTCAGCCCCAGTTTTTTTCTTGATCTGTGTTGCTACTTTCCTGCACCATGATTTTTACTGTTCGATTCGCTCTTGTCATTCAGCCTGACACTTTGAGTCTGAACCATAATGTTCTCATTATTCCAAGTATGCATTTGTAATTGTAGGATAATCATACAAGTCCTTCTAGCATTTGAATTTCAAAAGGTAGCTCAGAGACTCACAGTACGATCTGATCACATACTATGCATTTATGTTAAAGAATTTCCAAATAATATATTCTTCATAGTGCTAACAGTGTTACTAACGTTCTGTCAAAGTGTCAAGCATATATGATGCTGCAATTAACTCATTTCAGTCTATTAATGTCATATTAGCTTCCTCTTTGACATAACAATTTGCTACTGAAAATACATGAGGATTTCAGCCTTTTCATCTCTTAAGAGTGGAAACTAATTGAATGGGATAATGATACTATTTGGATACCACAACTTAATTTTACTGCCTTTGCAGACAGTTGCAGAACTCTTTTTCTTTCATGTACAGAGAAACATTCATTCACATATTTATGCTCCAAGTCACGGTGTTGGCCAATCACCTGAATGAGAGGGACACCCGTGTCCGACAGATCAAGATATATGGGCCACAACAATAAGTTGGATTTTCTAGGCTCCGTAAAAAAATATTTAAAGAATAATGTGGCAACCCCCACCAAAAAACATAGTATTAATCTCTGTGAGCCGCTGAGCACCAATTCAGGTTTCTAGCTACTAGCAAAAGGAAAATCCAATTGTTGGTAACTGATTTTCGTATGACTAGATTTATTTCACATCATGTTTTTTAAGATAACATATGACTTGTTGTTAGTTCCACTTGACGTGGATTCTGCTGTATATTATTTTGTTGGTTTTATTTAATAATTACCTACTAAATAGGACTGAATGAGTATATTTCTTCCTATGGTTACACGTGTGTTGCATGTGCATGATTACTATGTGATGAAAATCATCGATTTTTTTGCCCATGCCTTTCTATGCACGTCTGCTACCTATAGTCATTCTGTCATTGTATTGTTTTCTTCTACTATTTTTGTTGTATATTACTACATGAGTTGGTATGTGGTATTTGATACTACGGTCAGTTGGTGTGAAACCCCCCAATTTTTTGATTAATCTAGGCAGTCAAAATAAGTTCAGTCTGTAGTCTGTACACTTGTTAAACCATTTTAACTGAACTTGTACAAGCATTAAATCTAGGATATTTCAAGTCTCTTGACAAAAAATATATTACATAGCAATAGTTTCATCCTATTGTTGTACAAATCCAAGTATGAGGTGTATTTGTGGTACTTTGAAATGTAAAAATTGCAGCAATAACATTCTTCTGTTTTGCTGTTGCAACGAGAGAATAAGAACGAGATGCGGAGCCACATGGAAAGCTTGGACGAATTGATAAGATGCCAAATCTTGGACACCAAATTATGTGTATGTAGTTGTTTTGCATCGAAAATATGTTCATATTGTTGGGAATACTGTAGTTGATTTCACCAGCTGCGTGTTAGTTATTTGGTTATTTGGTCTGAAGCTATGGTTCAAGATTAGTAACTATTTGGTCTAAGCATACAATTCCTTTTCATGTCTTGTTGTATAGTTCTCTCGACAGGAAGAGTTCCTGGAGGTTAATTATTAGAAGTGATGATATATATATATATATATATGGCAGCTAATGGATGCTATTATCAAGTCTTAGTTTCTGAATTTTGATTTGGCAGACTCACTCTTTGTTTGATACAATATATCTGAAGATCCCTTTTTGCACACTTTTTAAATAAGCTCTTTACTCTTGTGTGTATGGTCAAACAATGCACTTCAAAAAATTATGTTAGTGTCTCGGGGATAGTTAACAAAATGGTGTACTTATAATCCTAGATAATCCCCATTCATTACGTATGTCACCTTTCCTTTTTTTTCTTTTGGGAATAGCACATATCATATTTTTTTCAATAGTTTTTTTGAATTTAAAAAGGTGTAGATGAACAAAACCAATAGAAAAGGGAACTAAATAAACAATTGTGAAATTCAAAAAATGAATTGAATTGTGGAGACGGGCGTTGCACGTGCATACTTACTAGTCTTAATCAAAAAGATATTACCTCGTTTGAAACGAAAACACAAATGGTAAAATCTCTATATAGGACATACACGTGCACGGCCTCCCAGAATCAGACACCGACAGGTGGGCACCACGAAACCGTCTCGAACCAGTAGGAGCCGCCGCGGGGTAAAATCAGGCCCACTCATCCTCTCCTCCTCCCCCATCGTCTTCGAATTGGGGATCTCGCGTCCCAACCAAGCCCCGCAGAAAAGCCCGAACCCAACCCGCTCCAAACCTAGGGTTTCGCCGACCCGCCGTCTCGCAGACCGCTCGCCGGCGCCGGCGCCTCCACCGCCGCCATGTACAACGGCATCGGGCTGCAGACCGCGCGCGGGTCCGGCACGAATGGGTACGTGCAGACCAACAAGTTCTTCATCCGCCCCCGGACCGACGGGGCCGCCAAGGCGCCGCTCCACAACTACGATCACGACCCCGACCGCGACAAGCTCGGCGGGATGCGGCCGCCCAACAAGGAGATCCTGGAGCACGACCGGAGGCGGCAGGTGGAGCTGCGGCTGGTCGAGCTGAGGGACACCCTCGAGGAGCAGGGCTACACCGAGGGCGAGATCGAGGAGCGCGTCGAGGAGGCGCGCAAGGAGGCCGAGCTGGAGGCCGCTGCTGCTGCCGTGGTCGCGGAGGCGGGTGGTCGCGCAGGCGGCGGGGGCCCAGCAGCGCGTCCGGGCGAAGGGTACGGATCTAAGAATTGCTCATACCCTTTTCTGTTTATTTCTCTGTATCTGTGAGGTACCCTTTTGCTATGTGAAAACAGTCAGTTATCCTTTTGCTATGTGGAACTGTTGGAGAGGAGGCCAGGAAAATACGTCCATGTGCAGTTTATAATCTGATTTCTTCATCTCATGTTCGAGGATATTTCACATTGAAACATAATTGGTTCTTAAAGTTTGATTTAGTATGAAAATTTATCTACAGCTTATGTTGTTCCTAGTGAAGTACGTATAAAACCCTGGTTCCTGCTCCTGCTTGTGTTAGCGTTTTGTTATTTTACAGTTCATATGTTCAGTTGTTTGTTCTGTTGGTAGATTGTCAATAGTTTCTGATAAGACATGTGAATCTTCTCAGGTTCACGGGCACACAGAGCCACCATGTCGCAGCACGGAAGGAGAAGCAGCTTGAGACGCTGAGGGCTGCTCTTGGGCTAGAAGCTGAGGTTGGAGAGAAAAACGCTGAAGTAGACAGTGATCCAGAGTCTGGGGAGCTTGTACCTGGGAAGGAGTCTGAAGAGATAGATGTTGATGTTCAGAACGATAGGAAAGCTTCAAAGGATGGTAAGAAGCATGCAAAGAAGGGAAAGAAGGAAAAAGGGAGTGATAGGAAGAGTCACAGCAGAAGTTCTAGGAAGAGTAAGCACGGGTATGATTCAGAAGATGATTCTGAGTCTGACCATGATGAGATAAAGGGAAAGAAATACATAAAAAAATCCTTCTTAGATAGAGATGTTGATTCTAAGATTGTTCATAAGAAGGCAAAACAGGGCAAAGGCACACACCATGATTCTGAGGCTGATTCAGACAGTGATCATGGCAAGAAGGCAAAACACACAAAAAGCAATCGTGATGAGGGAAAGAAGGGGCCTGTGAAGAGCTCTCGTCATGACTCTAAAGATGAGAAGCCCAGAAGAAGCAAGTACAAGGATGATTCTTACAGTGACTCGGAGAGTGATGTCTCGTACAGTGATTCAGAGAGCGACCATGATCGAAAAAAGAAAAAATCCTCTCACCACGGTTCTAAAGATGATAAACAGGCACCAAAAAGCAAAGAGAAGGAAGCCAGTTTGGTTAAGAATGTTGATAAGCGCAAGAGACATGATTCTGATTCGGATGGTTCTGCTCATGATAGGAAAATACACCTTGATGCAGCTGTTGCTAGGAAGGATCATTCCCGTGATAAACCGAAGATTGACCCAAGGAGTGGTGAATATAAAAACAAAAGGCCTGTGAAGACTTCTCGCCATGACTCTGAAGATGAGAAGCCACACGGCAAGGTCCCTCGGAAGGAAAAGTATGCCGAATCAGAGACTGACTCAGAGAGGTATACCAGTGAAAAGAAGAAGCCTGCAAAATCATCTGTCCATGTTTCTAAAGTTGATAAGGAAGCACCAAAACATAAAGAGAAGGAAGGGAAGACTAGTAGTAAAAATGTTGATAAGCGCACGAGGCATGATTCTGATTCTGATTCTGATTCGGATGGATGGCAAAGACATGTTGACACAAAGGTAAAAAAGATAGTGGAAGAGAAAAAAAGGGTGATTAGCTCAAGTGAGAGTTCATTTTACAGCAGCAGCAGCAGTGAATCAGATGTGAGCGATGAAAGCCGTGAGAACAGGAAATCTGACAGAGGATTGAAGAATGGTAATGGTCAGAACCATGCTAAAAGGGCTTCTTACAAGAATGAGTTAGAGGAAAGGAAAAAGGGTCAAGATGGGAGAAGGAAGGAAGAGAGAATGGAGCAGGAGAAACAAAAACAGAGGGAGGAAGAGAGGAAAGAGTTGGAGAAGCAAAAACGTCTGGAGGAAGAGAGGAAAGAGTTGGAGAGGCAAAAACGTCTGGAGGGAGAGAGGAAGGAGCTGGAGAAGCAAAAGCAGAGGGCGAAGGAGGAAGAGACATTGAAAGAGAAGGAACATGAGCGGAGGAAAGGTGAGCATGGTGTGGAAAGGGGCAGCAAAAGAAAGGTTGGAGAAGATAGGCACGACCCAAATTCAAACAGACTCAGCGATGATGAAAATAGGGACCGAAAGACGCGTGAAGATTATGGTCGACAGAAAACTACAGATTCAGATAGGTATGACCCAAATTCAAACAGATATAGTGATGATGAAAACAGGGACCGGAAGAGGCATGAAGAGTACGGTCGACACAGAGCTAGATATTCAGATAGCCATGATTTAAAGAGGTCTAGATATGATGACTCTTATAATCACTCGAGGAGGGATTACGAAGAGCGCTATTCTAGAGATGAGCACAGAGACAGGAGGCATCGTTGAACGCAGAAGTTATCTTAAAATGTAAGTCTTGGTTTTTACCATTGCTTGTTAGTTTGCATCACTGGGAAGGAGTAAACACACATTTTTACCGTTTGTCTTAATGCTAATCTTTTAGGTGGTTTGACCTTTAGTCCTAATATACTAAGAAGCATGGACACGGGGACGGAAAGACGGGGATACGCATACGGGGACACGGGATACGGCTTTTTTCAAAAATAACCATTCGGGGATACGGCAGGATATACAAGTATTTAAAAAATTTAGATGAAAGATTGTTATTTAGTACTGACATATGTTGCCTCATCTTTGGATGAAAGATTTTTTTTTCTTTTGAGGATCACACGGTCACTTTATATGACCCTGCACTCAGAGCCCACATAAGGCCCAATTCCAGGAAACCCTACACAAGTGCTCCTCCAGCTGTTCCCTATCCCGTGCTCCTCTTTCCTCCCTGCCCCAGCAGCCAAGAACTGTAGCGAGGAGATGAGATGACTGCTCCTCGCCTGTACCTTCTTGCTAGTCTACGTCTTCCCTTTCAATCCACCCAAATCTTCTTTCTCCTCGCTGCCTGTATCTTCTTCCCTGCTAGCGACCGTCGAGGTTGCCAGCTCAAGCGTGGCATCCGTCGGAGGAGAGCGAAGCAGCGTCGTGGTCGCTGGAGG